GTTGAGGAGGGATGACTGCTTGAGGTCAAGAGTTCAAGATCAACCTGGGCAACACAGCAAGATCCTATCACTACCAAAAAAAATTCTAATTAACAGGCCTAGTGGCATGCGCCTGTAGTCCCAATTACTCAGGAGGCTGAGGCAGAGGGGTTGCTTGAGCATAGGAGTTGGAGGCTACAGTGAGCTATGATCACACCACTGCACTCCGACCTGAGTTTTTCCTTCTCCTAAAAAAAATCCATTCAGCCTGTAATCCCGCGCCTTTGGGAGGCTGAGGTGAGTGGATTGCCTGAGCCCACGGGTTCGAGACCCACCTGGGCAGCGAGACCTCATCTCTATAATAAATCAAAAAATCAGCCGGGCGTGGTAGCGCGCGCCTGTAATTCCAGCTACCCGGAAGGCTGAGGCGGAGGGATCGCCGGAGCCCAGCAGGTCGAGGCTGCGGTGGCCGGGAGCAGTCACTGCACTGCAGTCTGGGTGACAGAGTGATACTCCAACTCAAAAAAAAAAAAAAAAAAAATCCATTATAAACATTATGTATGATCATGCAAATAACAGTCTCTTTAATATAATTCCAATATTATTTGATTTGTGAAAATTTGATCTTCATAAAAAACTTTAAAAGTACATCATTTGCCTAAGGTAGAAGCACATTCATAGTATATATCTTCTCTTACTGATAGAAAATAAATTGGCTCATAATTGGTATCACATACAAGCTCCCAAGCTTTGTCATCTCTTTCTGTTCTAAGCAAAAAAGTACCAACTACCCATCCTGAAAGGAATTAAGGTATTTTTCCATTTGAAAATAAAATAACAAAAATCTTAAAGTCTTGCCTCCGTGAGCAAAGCCTATAATTAACATCTCTATGGACTCTATAGAGTAGTGAACATTCAGTATTATTAACAATTATCAGATATTATTATTCTCTTTAATAATGAAGATAAAATATGTTTGAGATTGATATTTATAAAAGGAAATTTTTCTAATGGCATCCCTGTGGTTATATCTGTTAAAGTGCAGATCACTGTGTAATTACCTTCTTACTAGTTTAATTTTTGTTGTCTCTTAAAAGATACAAAGTAGGACATAGGCTGAACAAGTCAAGAGGTCTAAAGTACAACATGAGGACTGCAATAATAATATTAATACTACTGTATGCAGAATTATTTGCTAAATGAGTAGATTGTAGCTGCCATTGCCACAAAAAAAAATGGGCAACGTGAGAATGATGAATATGTTAACTTACTTCACTACAGTAGTCATTTTACTGTCTATACATATCTCATAACATCATGTTGCATCCCTTAAATATACACAACAAAATTGTTTTTAAAAAGAAGCAAAAGGTAACAAAAAAGAATTATGAGATGTTTTAATTTGAGCAACTGGTAAAAATACCTAAAATACTCTTTTTGAACAAACCATCGAAGGGGAGTTTTGGGTTTTTTTTTTTTTTTTTTTTTTAAAGATTTGTACAAGTCAGGGTTA